GGGGCCTCGGGGCAGCCCGAGCCGCTCCCCGCACTCACCCCGCAGTGATACACCTTGTTGGCCCGCTTGATCTTGATGTCCAGCGCGGTGCCCATCGCGCCGCCCGGCCCTGCCGCTCATGTGACCGGGGTCACAGGGCACCTGAGCTCGTGGAGCCCCGCCCCACTTTCTGCGCAGGCCTGGCCTGGCCCCATCCCGCCATTTCCGAGCCCGCCTCCAGCGGCGCGGCCTTACATAACATGGCTCCGCCCTCGGTCACCGTGGCAACGGGCAGGCCCAGTCCGCGTTGCTGAGCCAGGAAGAGGGCGGGAGTTGGGTACTTGGGACTCCCCCTCCCCTCCCCCCCCGGCGCATTGCATGCCGGGAGCTGCCAACGGCCGCTAGTGGGGGTCAGAGCTGGGAAGAGGGCGGGGTGGTGAGGGAGGACGGTGCGGACGCCTCGGCGGGCAGCAGCCTTCGGGGACGCCGCGGAGCCGGACAGGGGCGCCTCAAACGCGCTCCTGGGCTCCGCCGCTTCAGTAAAGCCAGGCGGATCCTGTCAGCGCTGCCCCAGGCGGGCGGGAAGCTCCGGGCGGGCTCCGCCGCCGTCGAATCCCAGCGGAACCGCTCGTGTTAACCGTGAGGGCGCGCAGCTCTGCCCCTCTCTCCCCCGGGAATGGGCCCGAGGTAATAACGGCCGGGCGGAGATGAGCTGAGCCTGGAGAGAGCGCGATAGTTGCCTATCCGAGGGCGGCTGGCTTTCGTAAAGAAACCTCTGCACAAGTAGCTCCTGCCTCAGTAAACTGACCCCACCCCTACCCTAACAGAGCAACAGCTTCTCCCCCCACCAACAAAAAACATTTATGGACAACGTGGCTAAATCGAGAGCTGTTCAAAACCCAGATAATAGCCTCAGAACATGTGGAAAATGCTGGTCGTTTACAGGGCTTTATAATAATATAAGTACAGCCTTGGGAAGGAATACAGGACCAACACCTGTGTTGTCTGGGGCATCCCTGTTTTCAATGAATGATTATTAGTCAACCAGGGATCCTGGTTTTCTCTGATAAAGAAACCCCACCGTTTTCAGATTAAAAGTAACCCAAAATATCCACATTTTTCTGTAATCAAAATGAAACAGAAAAAGAGAGAGCTGTGTATATTAGTAGTGTTTCATTTTAATCACAGAAAAATGTGGATTTTGGGTTACTTAACCCCAAAATTGGGGATTTTTTTTATCGGAAAAAAAGAGGATCCTAAGTATAGGCATATGTACTGAAGGCCTCTTTCTCTACTTTCCTTGTCATTCAGAAGAGCACTTCTGTCTCAGGGTGAACTGTGGCAAGTTAGAGTTTTCCTTAAAAATCCTCTTTCGCCTTCCAAATCTAGAAAAGCACGGGTGGTTTTTTTTGTTTTAATTTAAGAATGGAAAGCATTTTGCCCACTCCTATGAAAGAAGATTGTTACTTAGCTGCCTAAAAACTTTTGTGTTGAGAGCAAGCATTAGAAATTTCACTCTAAAGGATAGTTCACTCTTTGGTTTGGGGACACCAGTTGTGATAGCTTCTTCTCTGGAAAGTGCCCCTAACCTGGGGGATACTTCCCAAGAAACCAGTGAGGACCCAGGGAGTAATAATAGATGGAACTGAGTCAATGTGGCACTTGGTGACCAGTGGCAGACCTCAGGGTTCAGTACTTGAATTGATGCTTTTTAACATATTCATGTTAACGTCTGTTTTCTGTCTAGCTTCAAACTAACATAGCTAACTACTCACAGTACCTGAATGGAGAGGATCACATGGAAGAGGATCACATGGAAGAACCTGCATAGAAAAGAGTACAGCTATACTAAAAAGTTATATATGGATCTGGGTGTTAAAAGCAGCCTGGCAAAGTTAACAGATGACAGCAGATTATGGGGGATGGTGGTCACGCTGGAGGATAGACTGGGGTTACAGGCTGACCTGGACAGGCTTGCAAAGTGGTCGGATCAAAACCTGATGATGTTCAACACCAAGAAGTGTAAGGTGCTCCACCTGGGGAGAAACAACCCACAACTTGCTTACAGGCTTGGTGATGCTACACTTACTAGCACCACAACTGAGAGACCTGGGGGTCTTGATAAACCATAGAATGAATATGAGCCACCAATGTGATGCCATAGCTGGCAAAGCAAACAAAACACTAGCATGCATCTACCAATTCATCTCAAACAAGACTAAGGATGTTATCCTCCTGCTTTACTCAACCCTGGTAAAACCACAGCTGGAGTACTGCATCTAGTTCTGGGTACCACACTTCAGGAAGGATGTGGAGAGGTTTGAGAGAGTCCAAAAGAGGGCTACGCGTATGGTTAGAAGTATGGAGAGCAGACCACCATGCGATGAGCGGTTGAGAGACATGGGTCTATTCAGCCTGGAGAAGAGAAGACTCAGAGGACTTGGTGGTAGCCTATAAGTATATAAGGGGTGCACGTCAGGGACTGGGAGAACACCTGTTCACCAGGGCTCCCCAGGGGAAGACTAGACCTAACGGCCATAAATTGCTAGAAAACTGCTTTAGATTAGACATAAGGAAAAACTTCTTTACAACTCAAGTGTCCAGGGTCTGGAACAGACTCCCCCCAGAGGTGGCACAATCACCTACTCTGATATCTTCAAAGAACGTCTGTTTTCTGTCTAACTTCAAACTAACATAGCTAACTACTTCTCACAGTACCTGAATGGAGAGGATCACATGGAAGAACCTGCATAGAAAAGAGTACAACTATACTAAAAAGTTTTATTATCAGTCTTCTGATCAGGAAAAGGGATGTGTGCATAATGCTAAAGGAGATTAAAAAAGCAAAATCTAATTAAACAATAACTTCAAATACTTGCACATTTATTGGTCAACAATCACATCAGACACTGGTTTAGATAGGGCAAATACTTGAAGCCTTATTTGATTGTACTTTTAAACAGCTTAAGGGCACACAAGCATTCAACTATGTCCTAAATAATGCAAAAGGGTTAGCTGAACAGGTAACTATATTATAACCACAGGGATAGGATCCACAATATAATTAGAAAGAAAAAGGAAATGAATATAAGAAAATATAACAATATCATTAAATAGCAAGGTTCAAGTGGTTAGGTAAGTCAAAAAGATATTCTTTAGCAATCAAAGTGCAACCCAAATGAAGATCATATAAAAAAAAAATATGAGCTAATGTGGGGTAAATGTAAGATGGAGATTAGGGAGTAAAAAAAAGGAAGACGATGGAGTAAAAGGCCAAAGACATAAAAACAAGTTGGGGGGGAAGATATTACGTATAACCAAAGGAACCTGGACCTGTTTTTCAGGAAGTAAAAGCACTGTCAGAGATTGAGACATTAAACATGGAGGAAGCAAGTGACGGAAAGGGATAAATTAAGTGCATATAATCCCCCAAACCAGATGGTATTCCTCCAGGAATATTTAAATAATTTAAGAATAAAGTAGCTAAATTACTAAAAAAGGTACACAATTTCTCTTTTTTTTTTTTACTCCACCAAAGATCCAGAGGATGATAAATGCTGTGCCTATGGTTGAAAAAAAGGTGCTGGATTTGATTCCGATAAGCTTTTCTTACATATCAAAAGAATTAGCAGAAATAGAAATCAGAAGTAGAAAATATGATTGCATCGGAAGACATAAACATGGTTTCTCAAAAAAAAAAGTTCTCTCTAATGTAAAATTCTTTCAGTGTATCAACTAGATTATAAAAGGCGAACTGGTTTTATATACTTCCTTTGGACTTTCAAAAAACCTTTAAAGAGTTCTAAACCAGAGGGTAGAATAGATACTAAATAGTTCGAAAGTGACAGAGTACTACTGTGAATTACAAACTGGCTGAGACAAAAACAAAACTTAGAAATAAACAGTATGTTTTTTTCACGGCAAAATGTTTACAATGGGGTTTTGCAAGGTTCCACAGGAGGCCATGTATTGGTTTATATCTTTGTAAATGATCTGGAAAAAAAGATGTACAATTAAATTGAAAAAGGACAGACTTCCATATGAGAAGAGATTGAAAAGACTGGGATTGTTTGGAGAGTTGATAGAAGTATATTGAATGAAAGTAATATCAAAGATAAATATATAAGTACAAATAAATGCAAATGCAGTAAGTTTAAAATGGCTTTATATAAACAGTTATTTATTCACAGGGGTGTAGGTTGTAGCCGTGTTGGTCTAAGGACATAGACAGACAAGGTTCCTTGGGTGAATTTGATATCTTTTATTAGACCAACCCAAATAGTTGGAGAATAGTTATTAAGCAAGCTTTTGGGTTCAAAAACCCTTCGTCAGGCTAAGGAAGTTTCAGCAGTTGGTGTGTGCTCTTCCTGGATGGAATGAAAAGTAAAGAAGCCAGGCAACTGACTCTCCAGCCTAGCATCTGGCTTCTTTACTTTTCATTCCATCCAGGAAGAGCACACACCAACTGCTGAAACTTCCTTAGCCTGATGAAGGGTTTTTGAACCCAAAAGCTTGCTTAATAACTATTCTCCAACTATTTGGGTTGGTCTAATAAAAGATATCAAATTCACCCAAGGAACCTTGTCTGCCATTTATTCACAGGTAATTAACATGTAGGAATCATTACCCAAGCATGCAACTGAGCCCAAGAATTAACAGGATTAAAAAATAAATTGATATTTATATAGATAATGAGACCATCCATAGTTAACATTACATAGAATAAAAATATTTTCTAAATAAGGAACAGAAACCCTGATATGTCAGGGCATCCTAACTATTAATATGTGGCAACATTAAGAATACATTTCCCTGTGGACAAGTTATTCTATAACTGTTCACTCTGGGGTTTGTTGCACCTTCCTCCAAAGCTTCAGGCCAGAGTAACAAATACAACAGAAGACTGCGCTAGACAAAATACCCGTCTGACCTAATATGTCAGTCCTTTTGACCAGGGATTCTTTGAATGGACATCAGAAGTTACTAAAACTTCCCAAGAAAAAGGAAAACAATAGTTTGTTGATATTTCGGTATTAATTTTGCATCTTAAATCAGCTCTTCTTATAATCAACAAGCTCTTCATGATAAAGTTATGGACTGGCATCACAAGACACTTCTTATGCATCATAAAAATATCAGTTTTGTTCTTGATTTGAATCTGAGCCAGGGAGAGAAATAAAAATTCCAGCAATGAAATTGATATATTCATACACAATTGTCTG